AAGTGCCATACTTGAGACTGGGAGTGCCTGTTTACAAGAACGCGGCGAGTGTCTCAGCCTCAAGAAGTCGTCCAACTGCTCAAAGACGATCGCCTGAATCTCCTTCTGCCATCAGACATGACGTGGACTTCGAGCACTTTTCTTTTACTTCCCACGGAGCTGATTCGGGCTATCTTCCAACACCTCAATACAGATTCCGATGTGACGAGTCCAGATTTCTGCAATGTGTTGTCTCTCAGCAAGGCTCTGTATCCTCTCGTGCTCCTGGTGCTTTATACCGATGTCGCTTTTCACGCCGAACATACGCTGGGGTTCATTTCTGCACTGCAACAAAATGTCCAAGCCGCCAGGGCGTTGCGACACCTTACAATCCTTCCGTTTACCGAGAGATTTCTCACTCGCGACAGCACACACAGCAGAAGTAGCAATAGCCGAAAAGATGCTCTTCATCGTCTGAGTGATCTTCCGAAAGAAGCTCGCATGCGTTTGCTCAGTCTTACGATACACCATCTTGACTACGTGCCAACAAAAATACCCCTTTTACCAAATCTGCGAGAGCTAAAAGTTCACGGATATTACGTCGACCTGTCAATAATCATGCCGCACCTTTATGGTGGCTTTTCCAAGCTCGAGATCATGGAGCTTACAAACTTTCCTATACCACCGTGGACGTTCATGAACGGTTCCTTCGAAGCACCAGCGCTGAAATCTCTCCAGTTTGGAACCCACCGTCCCCAAAAAAACTCCATCATGATGCAGCAATTGAACAATCTCAATAAACGCCATTTTCAACCAAGTGAATCTTTGAGAATCTCGTTGAGGCAGCTTTCGCTTAATTTACAACTCCTCGTCAACGATGACAGCCTCCCTGGGATTCTACTTTCTTTTATCAACCTGACCGAACTCTCGTTGATTGAAGTCGAGAATACCGTGCTTCCAGTCCTCTCCAACCTTCGTTACCTTTGGATTCAGCAGCGGCTTCTTCAGCCTCATGTGCATCAACATGAGCTTACGCTAGTCATACCAGAATTGGACAAGTTCAACTCTCTACAAAGTCTCCATATCGAGAACTACGCAATCAATCGTCCGCATAAGGATCCCTACAAATTTTCACTTTCTATGTTGCATATCACAGGCTGTGAGTTGTCGGACTCGCTCGCTGTTGATATGCTCTTGAGGACAACAATTCAGCTCCGAGTCGAGAGATGCAGCATCGACGGCACAGTGCCGCTATTACCCCTTCCGAATCTCAAAATACTGGAATATTCTGGGAAAATACCGGATTTTAATGCTTTCAAGGGCGTGGCAACGAATCTTCGAGCAGTTGAACTGTCTGCCTCAGACAAGAGTCAGGTTGATCCGGATATCGACTTTGATCTTTCGATGGCTACACTACAGGTACTGAAAATAAGACACTCCAGTGGGTCACCGAGGAGGATGCAAACACTGATGAAATGCATTATGGATGGCAATTTGGGAAGTTTGGAGCATGTCATCTTTCAAGCGCCGCCCAAGGTAAGCTGTCGATTCAACTAGACTCCATTCGACTAGGCTGAGAAAAATGGTCAGAACGCTGATCCTATAAACGAAATCCTGAAAGATTCTGGGGTCAAGGTGAATGAGAGAACATGGGAGGTGGCAAAGTCTATCTTGTTATCCGAAGCTTCACCAGCAGCCTGAGTCGTGGATTCTCTCGTGGAATTGAGAACCTACAAATGCAGAAACTTCAGGGACTCACTCTCTGATTTTGGGATATGTCTCGACAAAAGATCATCGGTAATGTGATTGCTGTTATGAAGTAAAGACCTGACTGTAACTACACCACTCATCAGCTGCTAGCACACATTTCTCATCTCAGCTTCAATGCCTTTGGGTGTGCATCAGTTAGGAGTACTAGACATAAGAGCGACAGACCTTTGCGTGCAAATTATCAACGACCGTGCTCACGTTTTTGAGCGTTTCAAGCGTTGCGTCGTAAGTTTCCTGTAATGGCATGTCGGTAAGCATCCAGATGCTGAAGAGGGAACAACACATACATCCTCCTCGGGTTCATCATAGACAATCAAGCATCCTTCTCCTTGGTCTATAACCCCATAAAAGACTTTATCCAATATCATTTGACTGAGTCTGTTGCCATCTCGATCAGAGCAAGAAGGCAACAAGGAGGAATGACATACTTGGCTTCTACCTCCCTCACTGGTTGTCCAATTGTCTCTGCGACATGTAAAATCTCTACTCTCGAATAAGGCTCCACAATTCTGACCAAGTTCTGTTCGAGGAGTGTGTCATAAAGTCCTCCGAGATGATTCTTTACCATGGCATCATCAAGCAGCTCTATATCGACATAAGCACCATAAGGGCCAAATTAATCGGAGTAATGGAGAGAAAAGACCTTTGCGATATTTCTGCGTCGCCGCCTGGAACTCAGATAGATTCCGGTTCTTATGTGCAGCAGCAACGGCCTTCAAGGCGTCGACATCTGACCCTGTGTACCTCAATGCTAGTTTGCTCGTTACGATGGAAGAGACGTCTTCCGGCTATCGTGTCCAAAGGTTAGCTGAGGGATAGAGAGCTGAAGGGACGAACAAGGTTGAGCATGACTTTACAAAGGAGCATGTACTTCAAAGCGTTCACTGCCAGAGGGGAATCTTGAGATGAGAAACCTTCTAGGGATTCAAAGAAGTAGGAATAACTGTCACAAATGCCATCAGATCAAATGAGAAGGAAGAGAAGAGGGAAAAGGACTGACGCTGTCTTGTAGTCCTTGTCTTGAGAATGTAAGATGCCAGACTGGAGATCAAGCTCAGCTTGGAGGAGAGGAGGGCAGTAGATTGCATTCGCGGCAGTCCTTGCAGAGGTGAGAGCAGCCTAGAATTCCAAAAGCGAAGTTCACCATCCGTGATGAAGAGGAAGGTAGCGGCAGAGATATACTTTAGATTTGGAAAAGTTCACCAGGCTGTAATGCACCTTCGACTCGAGAAGGTGGACTTCGGTAAGTATCATCTTGTCATCCAGCCTTTTCAGCTCCTTCAAGAGCGCATTGATCAGAGTCAATGCCTCCCTGTACGCCGAAGATTCCAGGTACCTTCCCAAAGAACTAGTCAGCATGGTAGGTTCAAAACTAGGAGGGAGAGAGAAAACAAACAGGGAAACTAGCCGAATCTCCAGATTGTGCTTCAGGAAGATCCTTCTCTCTTCCTTTGCCCATGCCACTACCTCCTTTGTAACTTCAATCTGGACCTTCATTCCATCTCCTTTGATGCCTCCGAACAAATCCACCAAATTCCTCACTGCAGACAGATAAATTTTCCTTCCAAGGTAGAGGGGCTGCGAGGGGAGGAACACTGACCAAGCTTCGCGCTCTTCGCCTTCGAGGAACTCTTGATAAAATTGCGGCTGTTCCTGACGAGCGACGCAAGGTCCTGGACGCGGTTTTGGTCGCGATATAACTGTCCCAGTGCCAATAATGCATCCTCCTTCTCCTTCGAAATTGCTGCGTCTGTCCACTCTGCATCCAGCGGTTCAGATTCGTAAAGTCCTTTGCACAACAACAGAGGAAATTGACGACGGACCTGGATCAGACGATAAAATGTTTTGGTAATGGGATTCTGCGGCTGCTGGGTCAGAAGGTACGTTCGTTCCTGCCATTTCTTTGTGCCTAGGACGAGGTTTTGTTGGAAAGTGGCTGATTGTGAGGGTGACGCGTAAGGGCTTTAGTTGTCCTCTAGTCCGTTTCCGCATTTCCAACCGTCACCACGATCAGAATGAGACATGAGATGACAACATGACGACGAGCTCAGGAGGCATGGCTGGCCTATATTCTCTCTCTGACGAGCTGTTATTACTTGTACATTTCACTGTCTCCATTATGCAGCTTCTAGCAGATTCTGATTGAGATGCAGGTGCTCAGTTTCCTGGATATCCCAGACTTACATATCCTCTCCAGCGCCTCAAAGCACTTCTACTTCCTCTCACGGGATATTGCGCTGCACAAGAGTACGCTATTATCCTCATTTTATTTCAAACAAGACGAGGGAACATTCCTTTGACCTATTTCTATCGTGTATTCAGGGAGGATAACTATCGTTACTCCTTATATTCTCGCACATTGGGCACCTAGCCGGCCCACGCCTCTAGATATCATCCGACGTGGAGGTCCCATCAAGGGTCTCGAGTTGGAACGGCGGTGGTGCATTGAGGGGGGATATATCTACTCACTCTCCTCCCAGCGCCAATACAACGCGTCTCTCCGCTTACGTACCTCCTTGCTCAAGCGCACACTAAAACACCACCTCGCCACTCGTCCCAAGTCATCCAATATCCCCCCTTCCATCCTCCCAGATGAGAACAAGAGAGTTGCAATGAGGCTCTTACCCGCCTTGGTGAGCTTGAAGAAGGAGAGAGGGAAGGATGAGACTAAGAGAGGATTGAGAGGACTGAAGAGGGTAGAGGAGGTCTGGAAAGGTGGGATGGCCGGCTGGGACGATAAGAACGAACGTGTGAGGTTGGCTATTGTTCCTGGCGTACGTTTTCTCGTTCAGTTGAAGGGGCTGTGATGACCATCTTCCTCGGAACACGCATAGGTCAGGAAGTTTGTCAGATTCTTTGAGGACCTATCCAAGGCGGGGAAGAACTGAGATGATTAACTGAGAGTTCAGCGGCCCTAGAGATATTTCATGGATTACACACCAACCCTCTCGGAGCCTACCTATCGGATTCAGTCTCTTTCGACTCCCTCTTTGCCTCATTCACCTACTTAGCAAACCATCTTGCTGCCATTTTTGGTGTGTTGTGTTTGTATTCTTTCCGTTCCTTAGGTTCGTCTTTCTTGTGCATTGTCTTGTTTGGTCAGTTCCCCGTTTGCATCTTGCGTGAAATAGGATGGAGAGCCTAGCTTCTCGAACTCATGCCCGCCTCGCACTGCGTGGATAGGCTGCAGAAGCTTTGCAAAAGTTCTACTTGTGTCGAGGTTGCAAGTAAGGTAGGGAAGGCAAAAAGCATGACTTCTGCCAGGATCGAACTGGCGACCTTCAGTGTGTAAAACTGACATTATAACCACTAAACTAAGAAGCCGAGATACTGCTCGAGTCAGGCGTAGAACATCTTAATTGTACAAACCCTTTCCATCCCAGTTTCTTCTGAATTCTTTGATCAGTATGCCAATCCTTTTTCCATCATCTCATAATGGCTGCTTTGGAAACGCATGACTACAATTCTATCTCACATGCACTAGTTGCAGGGTTTTTATCGAGGAGAGGTACGCTTTCCGACGCTTTCTTATCTTCACAATGCAGAGGTTCCCAGCCCATAACAATCTGCCATCGTCTCAGGGTATAATGCAACACTTGAAGCTTTTCTGCGAGAATCGTCGACTGCCTCCTCGTCGAAGAGTCCAGCACCTATCCTAGAAGAAGTGTTACTTGAATATTTATCCAATCGTAAAGTTAAATCGGTCGCCGACACCACAACAAGGAACGAGAACACGCAGTTGAAGAGCAGTTCCAAGGAGAAGTATCCGATTAGAGTCGTAAAGACCCTAGATGACGTTCATTCTGGCCCAATCCTCTGTGTAAGATTCAAGACGGTCAAGAGGAAGTTCTTTGATACATTGGCGGAGGACTATAGGTGCGCTTAGGCCGTAGAGCTTTCCTGCGACGCATGGGTTGACCTATTTGATAGAGAGGAAGATGTTCCTTGTCTCGTTACCTCGAGTGGCGATCGAATGATAACTGTGAGTTAAATTTTTCTTACACTCCTCAAACATCAAGGTGACCGTCTGGTAGTATACTCCTTATACCCTCAATCCTGAATCCCCTACTCCACACGCGATGCTGCAGATTAGCTCACCCGCGCTCTCTCTTGCCTTCTCGCCTTCTTGTACAGACCGGATCTACTGCTCTTGCATGGATGGCAGTGTGAACCAATATTCAACTGATCCCTCTTCCTTGTCGAACCCAATCTGGTCAGTCAAGGATCACACGAAGTATGCCGTCCGGGTAGACGTTTCTGAGGGAGAGGAGTGGTTGGCATCTGGGGGATACGACGGGCGGCTCTGCCTCTATCAGAATCGAGGAACAACAGAAGAAACAAAATGGACCAAGAGAGCTGTGCTTGAATTTGACAAGAGGGTAGAAGGGATCCTTTTTTTGCCAGGTGGAAAGAAGTTGGCATTTACACTCAGAGACGATAATCATCTGAACTACCTTATTCTGCCTGAACATCGGGAGGAGAAAGAAATTTTGGGCAAGGAAGATTTGGAGATCGAGAAATGGAATCTTAATGCGAATGGTGCGTATACCCTCGTAGATTGACTATTAACTCAAGCATTGTTATAGGCGACGATTGGGTCTCCTTTTCCATCCTTTCAATATCGCTCCATCCCTCTGGAACTCACGTGTGCCTCCAAACCGATACACCTCTTTCACGTCTCATCCTTGTTCCCCTAACCTCTCCAACGCCGAATCTCTTCCGCACTCTGTACACCACTTCTGTCCAGTCCGAATTCTCGAACCCCCGTCACGCCTGGTTATCCACCTCTCTTGTCGCTGTGGGATCGGACGACGGCAGTGTCAGAATTCTAGATATAGATGGTAATGTGAAAACAAGCATCCCTGCTCATGGCGCCGCCTTGGTCGTCTCATCAGAGGGAGAGAGCGAAAGGGTCAGAGCCAGGAAGGAGAGGGATGCTGGAAGCTCCGTTGTGAGAGATATCTGTGCTCTTCCGGACAGAGGTCTCGCAACTTGCGGATTCGACAAGAAGGTTCAGATTGCTGTGGTAGAATGAATAACCTCAGCTGTTGTAAACACAGGTCTTGATATCTCCTCCTGCTACTAGCAAACATCATACCATCGAGAGTGTCCAGAAAACTGCCATCGCATCCAAAGCATATACAGCACGTGCACCAAGACTTTGACGCGGTTTTTTAAAGTTTTTCTCACCAGTCGCCGACGCGTTCAACAAAAGTATTCCCTTTAGAAATAAGCAGTGCCTTACTCTGAAATCACTCCGACTGTCAAAGGATTGCCCCAGCGATATTGTAGACATGGATCCCGTAGCTTATACGTTCCCCATCCACTCTCCACACATCCAGGAGCAGGATCGACCGCTCCTTCCTTCTCTCATTCGCGACACGATAGAATTTTCTCGAGGCTACATGGGGTAAGTAGCCGATATATCTGCCGTATCTACCACTCACTAACAACGTGCAGACAATATGATGCGTCGCACGACTTTCAACATCTCATTCGCGTCGTTAGCCTCACCTTCGATCTTGCGGCATCGTCTCCTTTTCCGCGCTCATCCGCTGGCCAATCTGATTGGGATCGCAACGTTCTCATGATTTCTGCTTTGCTGCACGATGTAGGAGACAAAAAGTACTCAGATGGTACGGGGGCCAACTCCGTGCACGAATACCTGCGTTCGAAGGGCTGCTCTGAAACTTTCTCTCAAGCAATACACGAGCTCATTTCTTCAGTCTCCTACACATTCGAAACATCTAATTCTCCGTCTGTCACCTCAGAAAGGCTCCTCAAATACCCTGAGTTGGCTTGTGTGCAAGATGCTGATCGACTGGATGCAATTGGGGCGATCGGAATTGGACGCACTTTTACCTTTGGGGGAGCGAAGAAACGAAGTGGTGCAGGGATGAGCGGAACCCTAGACCACTTTGACGAAAAGCTGATATTATTAGGTGGGATGATGAAAACCCCTGCAGGGAAGCAGTTGGGAGAAGAGAGGACAAAGCGACTAAAGGAGTTTCTTGGTTGGTGGAAGCAAGAGTTAGAGACGAATGCAAGCAAGGAGAGCAGTGTAGTTCAAGAGTGGATGAAATAAAAGGACTGTGCAGTGTCTTGGAGTACACCTCATTGCCTCTTAGAGAGAATGTTTTTCACGTATCGGCCTTCAACACGTTCAAGACTCGCCTGCGAGTTGAGTGTTACTATCGGCTTTTGATTTTCAGTTTTTTTATATGAGCTAACTTGAAGTGAACCTCAATTCTAGACCCTAGTCGACGGTGTTAAATTCAACGGCGTCGAAGCTGTCCAACCGTCCTCAAGGCAACTTGAAGAGCTCCACTCTGGCAACAACTGAACTGTGGCAGTATACAGGAGGAATATAAACGACTACAGCGTTCCAACCAAACGACAAGGACCAGGACCAGGACATGGGCTAGATTTACCAAATCCAACCCGGAGAAACTACAGTACCACGGCGACGATACGTGTGAAAGTAATGCTTTACTATTGCAGCAGAGTAAACAGACACAGGAGTATTCGCCAGATTGTTTTTACCATTCCAGCTACTTCAACCAAGCCTTCTTGTTCTGCACGAAAAATTCTTTCCAGGTGTTCGGTTTCTTTGAAAGGAAATCATGACTTTTTCCAAAATCGTGTTTGCCGTAATCTGCCATGCACGTTAGCATTGTCCTTATCCCAAACAGTATGGCTTACAAGACACCTCGTTGACGGCAGCGTAGAAATCCTTGAAGTCCTCTTGAATGAGAGGAGGCACGTGAGGGTAAGCTGGACTCTCCTCGAAAAGCGTGTAAACGTATTTCGCTTTCTCTCCAGTAGCTATGGTATCGCAATACGCCACAGTCAGAAAATTTACTTTACTCCAGGCAATAGTGGAAATTAACGAACCAGCGGCAAACTCCGTCACGATTTCTTCCATAGTTAAGTCCTCCGCAACCGCCTGAAGGATAGAACCATCGGGATATTCACTGGTGTGCTCTAGCGCGGCCTGTACGAAAATTCCGTAATCTGCAGCGATATCGATAGATGCCAGTTTTGTGTCGGCTTTCCAGCCTGTAGACAAAATGTACACGCCGTCGTCTCCTTTTCGGAATGTCATGTTGGGACCGAGTAGGTTTTGCATGTAGGCCGCTGGCTAGTATCCCAGGTAAAGTTAAGTTCTCAAGGTTCATAGGGAAGTGAAGAAAGAACGTACTTCGACTGAGACTGCTCTTATATCTCCTCTGTTCTTGCTTTGTTGAAAGAGGTACTCCCTGGCCCTCGCCTTCCCCTCGAAGTGATATACCTTGGTATATTTCCCTTTCGTCAACTGGGAATAGGATGGAAGGCCAGAAAACAAGAACGTCTTGACACTTGGGACGGAAAAGGCGACATCGATCACGAGCTTGGTTTCGAGAAAGTCCTGTTTCGGTCAGGACATTTATGAAACTCTTTACTCGGTTAGGTGCAGACATGAACTAACCCTCTCAACATCCAAATGATCCCAAAAGTTAGTGACCAGCTGTAAACAAGTCGCGAATCAACAAGAATTCTCTAGAAGAGAGGAAAGCGTACAAAAACAGCATCTGCTCCTTCGAGAGCGTTCTTTATCTCTTTCTCATTGCCAAGCGCAACAGTAGCAGCTCTCAGTTCCACTCCTGCCTTTATGAGATCGACTGCAGGTCCCTTCGACACATCGCGAGTGATGCCGATAACGTTGTATGGCCGAGAAGAAGCCCGCAGAGCATTTAGGACAGAGCCGCCTTGCTTGCCTGTGATCCCAAAGATGGCAATTTTGAGCGCGTTAGAGGCTTGAGAGAGCATTGTGATACGTGTTGCGATAGTCGATTCTTTGAAGATGTTGTTGTTGATGTGCTAAGTGCTAAGTGGATGAAGAACATTGTTGAGCCCCATTCTCACTCTTATATACACCTCCCTCCGAGGTCGACTTCGGCAACTCTTTGTAAGACTCTTTCGCCAGCCCCATGCCGTGTTCTGATTGTACTCTCAACTTTCTATGCGTCATCTGCTCATTAACTCAGCGCTTACTACAGGTGAGTTCTCAACCGAGGTCAACCTCGGTCACAGCGGAGCTGTGCACCTGAAGTGCTGACAGCAGATAACCCAATGAAATTTGGAGCTCCAATCGTCTACACTAGAAGGCACATCTCTCGATGCACATGCTGTGTCGATTCAGAGAGAGATGGTGGCCACAGTTAGCTCGCCGAGAACAGCTGACATAGAGTGATCTTTTTCGATGAAAAAGGATGGAAGAAGAAAAAATAGTCGATAGTCTTTAGGCACAGGTAGAAAGGAGCTCAGAAACCATTGAGAGGAGG